TATATATATATATATATATATATATATATATATATATATATATATATATATATATATATATATATATATATATATATATATATCAATAACGTAGAGTACTGTACAATAAATTACCCATGGTTCTTGCAGCCCTAGCAGCTTGAAACTACAATCATCAACTATCCTGTTGTGTGAGGGCTACATACCTCGTTTGCCATACACCCGACACATTTTGATTCGCAGTGGGAGGAAATCGTAGCCTCAACCTCAGCCAACTGCATTTTGCTAATTGAATATGTTGTGTTCGTGGTGTTGGTCACTTATTTCATACTACCGTAGCATGAACTTATCTCTGCTCGTCAAGATATAATTATCCTGGATTCCTGGGTCAGGGTCCAATCTGGATATATATTTATTTATCATCAATTTGTCTGTGACCCAGATATTTTGTTTTTTGTGTCTGTAAAAAGATTATTTATTTAAAAAGAATGAACCAAAAGTTTCATTCGCCGCCGATCCCGACAGCCCGCGCCCCTCGGGCCTCAGCTGTGGTAAAAATTTATTTACATAAAAATAGTAGTGAAACAGCTGAATCTATCTATTTACAACGAAAGTACTTATGTCCAGAACGCAACAAGCGAACGACGACTATGTTTACCGAAGTGGAAGACCCAACTTCAGTCGAATATGTATAGAATAACGGTACTTATAGCACACCGCAAGCAACACGAAGCGCGTAACAATATTTACGAGTATTGCTTAGTATTTTAGGTATACACATTCACGCACATGCATATGCATATATAGTATATATATAATATAACAATGAAACGTCGCACATCACACACGCACACAAACTCGCACACGCACTCGCATACAACCCAACACAGCGAGAAATCCACTGCACACAAGTATAAAGTAGCTGAGACAGGTCCGGTAGGTAAGAGGGGGTTTGCTCGATCAGTACTCAGACAGGTGTCATGCGAAGTGTCACGATATGAGGGAGCCACCGCTGTAGAGCCCAATGCCATAGAAACACTGACAGATGTGCTGGAACGGCTTATACTGGAAATAGCTATATCAGGCAGAGCTTATTGTGAGGGTGCCGGGAGGACACAGAGTAACCTGTTAGACGTGAGGATGGCGTTGTCGGATTTGGACTTGGATATAGGCTCCTTGCATGAGTATGCTAGGACTGCTGAACAGGGAACTCTGGGCGAGATAGGTATGTAAAATTGAATTTGTTTCGTTTGTCTGTATATTTGCAAGTGACCTGTTTTACTCGATTGATTCTTGTTAAAGTGTGTGGACACTGTGATGAATATCAAACCTAATTGTAGGGGTACAATATTGCTGTATGTTTCGTATCTAAATGTATGCATAGACATATTCCATTTAAATTGATAATCCATTTATATATTTATACATATATATATACATACATACATACATA